AATAATCTTAAAATCATTAAGAGAGGCGGAGTGACCAGTGCTATCAAGATGGGAAAGGATACTAGACATGGTCGGATTGCTGCTTTTACTGCCTGTTAGAGGAGAAACACCCAAATGTGCAGAAACTCGTGTGTGCAAGTGACGGACCGTTTGGCCCAAATACGTTGCGGAACAGCAACGACACATATAACATCAGGAAAACAACATTTCAAGAAAACTACTAGCCAACTAGGTTCTCCACCCTTTTACATTGAATGAACATAGCTACTTTATAATTAAAGCCAAGGGTATATATTACGATGACGACGGCTTGAAAATATTTACTTTCTCTACATCTCGTTTTTCGCCACACGGTGTTTGAAAAAAATTCCTTCTAGTTTATTCAAAGTCCAACTGATCAATGACTTAATATTTCGAATGTGTAAAATTGAACTAAAATTAAGGTGACGTAAAAATATGTAAATTAAATTCCTTCTCGTATTTCAACTGTCACGCAATCTTGATCTAGCTTGTCATGCGTAATAAACAGATGTTTCTCTGACTTTATCTATTGTTATCAACTGTATAAAAAATGTAATTGCATGCATGCTAACTTTATTCATACTAGATAGTTCCATCAGCTCTAAACTGTTCTCCCTGGAGGTCCAGTAAGAATCATCTCTTATTGATCCAGTGTTACTACAGGAGGAAACCTAAACTAAACTAACTTTATTCATACTAGATAGTTCTATCAGTTCTAAACTGTTCTTCCTGGAGGTCCAGTAAGGATCATCTCTTATTGATCCAGTGTTACTACAGGAGGAAACCTAAACTAAATTAACTTTATTCATACTAGATAGTTCCATCAGTTCTAAACTGTTCTTCCTAGAGGTCCAGTAAGGATCATCTCTTATTGATCCAGTGTTACTACAGGAAGAAATCTAGACTAAGCTAACTTTATTTATACTGGATAGCTCTATCAGTTCTAAACTGTTCTTCCTAGAGGTCCAGTAAGGATCATCTCTTATTGATCCAGTGTTACTACAGGAAGAAACCTAGACTAAGCTAACTTTATTTATACTGGATAGCTCTATCAGTTCTAAACTGTTCTTCCTAGAGGTCCAGTAAGAATCATCTCTTATTGATCCAGTGTTACTACAGGAAGAAACCTAAACTAAACTAACTTTATTTTATACTACATAATTCCATCAGTTCTAAACTGTTCTTCCTAGAAGTCCAGTGGGGGCATCCCAGGAAGGATACTGGAGAAGAAGTGTGGTGTTTGAAAGATAATTATTGGGATGGTGGCGAACTATAACAACTTAAAGAACATCATAATGAAGAGAACAACACACAAAAAGAACGACAGGCGCGTGCTAGCAACACAGTGTTAGAATTTTCCTGGGAGATTTTCTGTGATACACGTCACTGGTACCAAGCCGATTAGAAATGACCCTTACTGCTTCTATATCGAAGTTACAAAGGTCAGACTACCTGAACATTGGACTAACTGCGATTAAAGAAATTAACATAAAGTGAAAAATGTCGATATTCTACTATTCTTTCATCAGATGCAACTTCAAACCTTTCCAATGACGTCATAGTGAAGTTCGCGGAGACTGATTGTCTCCACATGTTCTTTAATCTCAGCCGCCAAATTTCAAATTGCGCGTTTTTCTGTGTTCTAGATTTCATCGCAGGCAGGATTCCATTTATAACACAATACAATATACATTGTTATGATCAAGTGCCCAAGAGCTTTCGAGTAAATGAGAGGCAATTCCTTACTCTAGTGCATTATAAGTGTTAAAATCTGTCCTCAAAATTGAGTGTTAAAGAGCCAAACATTTTAAGGCTTATATGTCCTAAACTGGTCAAGCTGTTAGTATCCTAAAAAGGAACTCTTCTAAGTACTATTTAAAACAAGAGCAGCAATGCTTTATCAGATATCTTTATCAGATATCTTTATCTTTTTATACATTGTGTTTATATTGTTACGTAATGTGTCCATTGTTTCGTATCGTTTTTGTCGTTTGATTATCTCTTATAAAGTATAGGTGTCTAATATTCTATAATATTGTAGTAATCAGGGACGTCGGAACAATGTGAAGGCAAGGAGGGCAGATTTTCGTGAAAGGGAACGTTTGAATTGATATATACTAAGAGATGTTTTTTGAAAACATCGGGAGTTGAACTTCGCCTAATCATGTTTTCTATTTATTGGATGATGGGGGTGTGAGGGGGTTCTCCGCCAGGCGATTGTGCCATTCTCGAAGCTCGATGACTGCATTTCTTGCGTTTTCTGAAGCAAATTCGTAAAAGAATCGCACTAACATTTCTGACAATTCGCTATTTCGCCAAGACAATCCTTTAAATTGAAAGGACACCTTTGCCCCCTTGCCCCTCCTGGTAAAGGGCAACGGGGGCGGCTGCCTCTCCTCCCCCCCCCAGTTCCGGCGTCCCTGGTAGTAATTTAATGTTGTCATAATGTATACATGTACTAATCTTTTGTAGCATAGAATAGCCACAATGTGGAAATGCTATTAAACCATTATTATTATTATTATTATTATTATCACTGTATAAACACGAGGCGACAGCGGAGAGTTTTATAGCTGATAAAGCACCGACTGCGAGTGTTTTAAATGGCTTAAAAGACCCATCTTATGAGTTAATAGACAATTCCCATTATAGACTAATTTTAAAACTAGGCAAGGAGATGCAAATAAATCACCACAGCTAGAAAGAGCATACTACAATTAGTAAAATTACAAAATTTGGTTGCGAAATGTTGTAAAATGTGGAAAATATAGCCTTGCAAAGTTTGCAAATTTTGTATACTTTTGTATTGCGTGCGACATTTTCGGCCTAAATGTGGTAGGAATGTGGTAGGAATTTCCGCAAGCAATACAAAAGTATACAAAATTTGCGAACTTTGCAAGGCTACATTTTCCTCACTTTACAACATTTCGCAATCAAACTGTGTTATTTCACTAATTTTAGTATGCTCTTTCTAGCTGTGGTGATTTATTTGAGTTTCCTTGCCTAATTTTAAAATTAGTCTATAATGGGAATTGTCTATTGGCGAAGTAATTTTAAAAATAAGCGTTGTCTAAGCCGAGAAAATCAAAGCTAATAACGTTTATTTAAATGAACATGATTTTTATCCAATATAAAACCACCCACATGGTAGTGATTTTCTTTGTTCTTCATATAACATTTTAATAAACTTAGGTTTATCATGTTCCTTTTTTGATTGTCAGTCAAAAGCCGAGGAGTCAATTGAATAAAATATGATATTGGGTATTGGTATGGCATGTATAGTGAATTTTATTTGAAAAGGGTCATCCATTCAGGAAATGATTAGTATCTCTAAAGGTAAAAAATTGCGCGAACCACTGTCTCTGAGTATTTTAATTTACAAAATTAAATACAAAACAATAATCCGGTAAACGTGCACTCTAAAAACACTCTGGTTAAATTCAACCAGGAACTGGATCAATAAACTACCTAGCACATTCCTGGTTAAATTAACTGATTTCCTGGTTAAAAATTATTGATTCAACAAAAATCTGGCCATACTTCTTTGGACTTTTAACCAGGAAAATGGTTTAATTTTTTTAACCAGGATTGTGTAGGTGGATTTTTAACCCCATCCTGGTTGAATTAACCCAAATTTAACCAGAGTGTTTTTAGAGTGTGATGACTAAAATCTAGTTAAAACTAACACAGTCTTTTCAAAATGTTTCCAAATGTTTTGTACCTATGAGGGCCATTCCAGAAACATAAACCATGGCTGAAATAATTTGCTCGCCCAATACAGTACTGTAGAATTTGAAGTGTGGTGAATGATAATACTATATACCACGCACATTTTGATCACCGCATCATCACATCATGTTTCCGTTATTGGGACTGGATTTGATTTGGGAGACTGTAAAATTGCAGTAATTGTGTCACTGTTTATAAGGTTAATTTCTTGTTGGAACACTCCTCAAAATGCTGGAAATCACCTTGTCTGATCTTCAAGAAATCCAAAATTTTCTGGGGGAGGGCATGCCCCCAAGACCCCTCTAGACGGCTCGCACCTTCGGTGCTCGACTCGGTTGTCTCAGAATCGAGAATCCTAGTTACGAGCCATGCATATACTGTATATTGGATATATAATTCCTGAATCGTTAGTCTAGGAAATACTGTAAACAGTCCAGTTTGGCAAAGAAATGTGTAGAATAAGGGGATTTGAAAGGCAAATATTCTAATACCCCATATGGATTTCCACAAAATATATTAGAGTGCATTAAAACATATATATTTCTTCATTCACAATATTTCTTGTTGTGCATTCTCCAAGTTCTTCACTCCCACGTAATTATACTGAGGTTTTGTCAGTATGTGGGATAATGAAAGATGAAGGCGGTGATGTTTGGATAATTAACAATGTGTTTAACAAAATCGGACACGAAAAGAGACCGCATATCTTGACAAATATTTGATGTTGACATTTCTGTATCCTGCTGAGGTCGCAGACGTTGAGTGACAGTTGAGCAGTTGTATAAATACAAGTGAAAGAATCGTGTTCATAATTAAATTGTGTTTCACCAAACAATTGCAGCGATATAAACACGCTTGATTCAATAACACAACCTGCAGTCCGGAGAGTGGAATAATCAATTGAGCTCAAAGAAAGTGGCGTTCAGTCAAAACAGAAATAACTGAGTGGTAATCATTGAAATCAGAAATCCACAACTCACTTCACTGAAGTGATTGAAACAATTGCAACCCTATAAATACGATTCAAAGAGCAATTCCGGCTTAAGAGAGGCGGAGTCAATCGGACATTCACTTAAATACGATTGAAAAACGTCTTCCAGCTCAGAGTTGGCCCTCAGGAAAGCGAATCAAACCTTTGCAATCGTATTGAACGAACATTCCCAACAGTTCAGCTGTACTTCACTCAGACATTTGCAAATAAAGATTTAAAGAACAGTTGAGCTGTGGTTTACTTCAAACGAGTGCCAACCATGACAGTTTTTGCAATTGAAAAAGCGAAGAAGACGTACAAGCTTAGTTCTGTCTTGATATTGCTCATAGTGAGCATTGTCATCAGTTTCTCTATCGGACTACTAGCAGGATATCTCGCAACCAAAGATGAAGAGCAAGATGTCAAGGAAACAACAAGTTACGGTGTCGATGATTTATTGGAAATATTCAGTGCAGAGCACATGAAAAATACCGCAAGGTAAGAAATTTAGATCTTTCTTTTGCATACGTTTGGTCGACCAGTTGAAGCTGCCTTATCTATTTATTTATTTAGCTTCGCCTTGAAAAAAACGTACATAATACAAGTACAACAACTCATATGCATGAGACAGCACAAGAGGCCGGGACACCACAACAGTTTACCCTTATCAGGCATGAATGAATTGAGAACAGTTCATAAAACTGTGGTTATTAAATATTAATATTAACTTCCCGACAAGGGCCTAGCTCGAAACGTCGATGTTTTACTTGTATTTTAGAGCTCCCCATAGCATGAATGATTGAAACTTTTATATTAGTATGTCATTGTCTTCTACATCACTAGGAATGAACTATTAAGCCTACAAAGATTGATTGTGAGTTCTTATCCTGTATCATTACAAGATGAATCGATCAAAAGTTCGTTTTCTTCCCATAAATTCCCCTAATTAACCCAGAGCAGATTTAATAAAAGATTTCAAAACAACAAGCCATCAAGCACACAAGGATTCGTGATGAGTTCTGATTCTTAATCACTAAATAATTAAATTTATGATTCTTACAGATATTGCCAGTAAGTTCCTCTCCTTATAAGTATACAAGAACTAAGCTCTCAATTTTCGGGAATTTTCAGCCCTTTTCCTATACCAACTGTTCTATGAATCTTACAGTATTGCCAGTAAGTTCCTCTCCTTATAAGTACACAAGAACTAAGGCGGTCTAAGCTCTCAATTTTCAGGAATTTTCAGCCCTTTTCCTATATACCAACTGTTCTATGAATCCTACAGAGATTGCCAGTAAGTTCCTCTCCTTATAAGTACACAAGAACTATAGCTCTTAATTTTCAGGAATTTTCAGCCCTTTTCCTATACCAACTGTTCTATGAATCCTGCAGAGATTGCTGCTGAGTTCAATTACGTCATATAAATTCCTAGAAATTTTATCCTAAAACTGATACGTACTTGTTAAGCTATCAAGCCTTACATACAGATTGGTAGTGAGTTCTAATCAGTTTTTCATAATTATTCACGAGATTTTACTGAATTCTCAATATTTTATCAAAGATCTCTGACTAAATAAATTGTACTATTACTAGGGCAAGTTAAAATCTACGTGGGGAAAGCTTTGCGGCACACGTAACATCTCTTTAGGGCGAGGCTTTCGTCCACTTAAATCTTGTTCCCCTTCATTTTAACCCATGTTCTTCATATTGAAAGAAAAACGTCAGAAGCGACCGGCTACTTGCGGCAAATATAGTTTTTTAAATTTTTCACGTTGCGATTTCCTTCTTAAATTATTGTGTTTCACTAAAACATTTCCTGTGTACTTTCCTGTGTCAGACATTGCATATTTCTACACGTTGTTAATACCTTGCGATTGACATTATCGGCAAGGTCATCCTGTTTATTTAAAGTTCTTCAAAATACTATAATCTGACATGAACTTCCTTGTCATCATACTGTCAAGCGACTATACATGCTTGTGTTGGCACCAATTGGCATTGCTATTAACTATTGTCAAGTGCGCATGCCTTCATAAATGAGAATTACCAATGAGGAGGAGTTATACACAATACTGTAGGAACCACCTTAGCTCTAGATTAGATCCTTATACTGTGAATGAAAAATCATGATCTGGCACATTATACAAATGTTGGCAGTTATAGCGAGCTTGATAGATAGATAGATAGATAGATAGATAGATAGATAGATTATTTAATAAGATTTTACATCGCAGCCCAAAAAAGCTGAATTGTGTAAAATTTACAAAACATATAAATAAACTGTAGGTTATAAAGTCTATAAACACATGCATATACATATACACACATACAAATACTAACAGTACACATATTTTCATACATATACATTACGATCTTTAAGGTTCAAGTTAGACTTATGTTATGAAAACAATTCATAGCAAACCTATTTCTTTAAATTATTTGACATTGCGGCGGAAGTATAAGAGTTTCTAAAACGATTGGTTCGTATAGTAGGACAATCAGACGCACGTTCTCTCCTCAGGTTGTAAGTGGGATTGTGTTTGGGTGGCAGTAGTTGTCTAGTTGATAAAGCTTGTGGTCTGAGTTGGATACTATTGTCTTGAAAAGTTTTTCACACAGTTTCTGACGCCTGTCTTTGAGAGAACTAATATTATACTTGTTAAGATTGTTCGTATAAGATGACCCAGGGGATATAATTGAAAGCGCTCGCTTTTGAATGCGTTCAAGATCGTTACATAAATATGCAGGTAATGAGTGGTGGAATACAGGTGCACAATGCTCGAAAAAAGGAGAGGAAACGACGTCAGATTGCCGAGGAAACGACGTCAGATTGCCGAGGAAACGACGTCAGATTGCCGAGGAAACGACGTCAGATTGCCGAGGAAGGACTGGATTAAAAACTGTGTTTATATCAGTTTGTGGTAATCTTCAACACAAATGACAAAACATAAGATTTAAAAGTTTTTTACTTCTTTACACAAGCGCTATGAGTAACCCACCGTGGCCAGGCATATTTTTCAAGCATGCCCGGTGTGGAAATACACTCAGAGTAACATCACACAAGCATCTTATTCACCTGAGTACACTACACCATCACAGCAAATATCATTATTTACATCAATTTACGAATGACTGTCCCTGTTGACAAATACGTCGTTTTCTTAACAATATTCTCACTTTAATAACTGCTAAACTGCATGCATTTATGAAATTGAGAACTAGTTAGACCCCGTTTATAACTGCTAAACTGCATGCATTTATGAAATTGAGAACTAGTTAGACCCCGTTTACACGGTACCGGACGAATTTGGGACCAGTCTGAAATTCGTCTTTTTTGGCCAGTTTACACGCGAATTCGTCCTATTAATAAGGGGTCTCAAATTTGTCCAGTTCCGTGGTTCTCGTGTGTTTACATGGCCGAATTTCAGACCGGTCCCAAATTCGTCCGGTACCGTGTAAACAGGGTCTTAAAGTTTCATCGCAAAGCGTATGAGTAACACTTCAATCTCAAACTCAATAATTTATGAGTAAATTAGCCAACCATATTGCTTTATATTACGTGATAATACTGGATACCTGATGAAGTATATTGATCCTGTCCTAGGACTGGATCAAAATTAGCTATTCCGAAGCTGCCTCCTCCGCAGGCCCTCGTTGCGTCATGGGAAGGTCACGTTCTGGCGAGGGCCTGCGGAATCTTGTGAAAAAAATGGCGCCGGCGTCACGTCAGCAAGTAAATTTCTACATAATATTGAATATAAACAGATATGAAAAAGCGGCGTGAAACTTGTAAATTAAACTGGCGACTCTAAGGACGTGGAAGGAAGCATTTTTTAACGATAAAGTTTGTTGTCCACACCAACCTTGCACGAATAAAACTGCCTTCTTTAACGAAGCAGGTTTAAAACAACATTTATTCCTTTTACAAGATTCCGCAGGCCCTCTCGAAATCGTGACCTTCCCATGACACAACGAGGGCGTGCGGAGGAGGCAGATTCCGAAGTTGATGAGTGGACTGGAGACGAGTGTTAAAAAGTGCCCAAATTAAGAAATGAACCAAATACTAAAAAGACCACCTCAAAATTAGTAAGTATACAAAGTTTGAAGACGTTTACATGAATACCCTTCGAATGATAAGCTTTCGAAAATTGTGAAATTACCGACTCGCGTCCCAAAAACACAAACTACAATACATTTCATCATAAATATTTTCGAATATTTTCGCGATGTAAACGTCTTCAAACTTTGTATGCTTACTAATTTTGAGGTGCTCTTTTTAGTGATTTGGTTCATTTCTTAATTTGCGCACTTTTTTAACACTCATCCCCAGTCCTCTCATCAACTTCGGAATGGCTAATTAATTAAATGTTGCAATTGAGTTATCTTCGCCTCCGGACTTAATCAAATTGCGCCGCGGACATGACATCTAGTCCAGTCCTCATAGTCGGCTTTGAAATATCCAAATAAAGTGACCGTGACATTACTCCATTTGTTGAATTAAGGGATCAGTATCTGTGTCTCCAAATGAACTTTTATTGTAAACAAAAGATCAGTGGACTCTTTTAGAGGCTTAGTCCATTGTTGCGTGAGATTAAAACCAGATTTACTAAATACCAAAACGCATTAAGACCTAATGATTGTTTTAGACTTCGTGTATTTGTGTAGCAAATAAGAATTTTCCAAATATATGTTGTGTGTGATAACTGTGCTCTTTTATAATCCCTCGAATTTGCGTCGAGAAAATTAAGATCATGGCATTGTGGGTGGAACAATAGCAACCAAAGCCCCATGGGAATGTACATTCCCATCATTCAACGCGGAACGAGAAACTGGGGTCGACACAAAAGTCAAAGTAAATATGACAGCAACAATTGCCAATACCCAATATAGACTAATTTTAACACTAGGCAAGGAGATGCAAATAATTAAATCACCACAGCTAGAAAGAGCGTACTTAAATTAGTAGATTTGCAAAGTTTGGTTGCGAAATGTTGTAAAATGCGGAAAATATAGCCTTGCAAAGTTTGCAAATTTTGTATACTTTTGTATTGCGTGCGGAAATTGTTTAATACCATATTCCAACCACATTTGGGCCGAAAATGGTAGCAATTTCCGCACGCAATACAAGACATACAAAAGTATACCAAATTTGCAAATTTTGCAAGGCTATATTTTGCGCATTTTACAACATTTCGCAACCAAACTTTGCAAATTTACTAATTTAATTATGCTCTTTCTAACTGTGGTGATTTATTTGCATTTCCTTGCCTAGTGTTACTACACATGACTGCACACTCGACACTAAATTTAACTTTTTGACAGCAACTTATGTTTTAGCTTGGCTCGTCGCCAGTCGCCCAAAATTTATTTAAATTATATCTGTGGCAATTGATACACCAGGAGGAAATCTTAGTTTAAAGATAAAGAGCAGAGCCCGGCAAATAACTTTAAAACCAAACATAATACTAGAAGTAATTTATATATTTTAAATTAATTTACATTTTTTAATTTATTTTGAAGCGCGCGAAATATTAATGAGAGAAGCGCGAGGAATTATAAGTCTTATATACAAGAGTCTGCGGAGGCGATGTGTTAGCTGATTATAAAACCAGATTTGCTTAAATTTTCTATAATCGCATTGATCGAGATATCACAATTGCTCGCACGCACGTTTACAAAATGCCAACATAAACATATTTAAGTTTGTTCACACTCATTAAGTACTTGAGTGTAATTGATGGACAAACATTTCATCACGTTATCTTGTCACGATATTGTTTATACAATACAATACATACATACAATACATGTTTCTATTGTGTCACATTTTTCACATTCAGCAGCCTTAATGCTAGTGGGTTAGAAATCTAGAGAACCAACATGTCTAACATGTAAAGGATCTCTGCACGCGCCTTATGCCCGTAATCGTCAAGAAGTGCGCGCGTT